CTGAACGTAGGTAGGACCAGTCAGGACCGTCTGAACGTAGGTAGGACCAGTGGATATTAAAGTGAATAATTTAAGTGACTAAAGTTATTTTCTATTAAAAATAAATAAAATAAGGGGCAGATATGTTTTTTTGTTGTTCCGGAGCTTCAGCGCGTGTTGCTCCGGAGCTTCAGCGCGTGTTGCTCCGGAGCTTGTGGTGACGCTGTTTGTCTTTCAGGGAACAGATACGTCGAGTTGTTCCTGAACTCTGAGGAGACGTTGGACTGAAGCTGGAAACGTCTCGTCAGGTCTGAATCCACCTGCAGATGAACCCGAGTCCAACAAAAGACTCGTTTGTTTCCTCACTCACGAGATGGGACTCGGCTCACGCTGGTTTTGTTTTGTCTTCAGGTGGACAGGACTCGGATCCAGAGATCAGAGATCAGCATCTTCTTCCATGAATAAACAGAATGCTCAGCAGTTTATTGTGTCAACGGTCGTCGTGGTGATTGTTCAGAACGGTCAAGCTTTCAGCATGTGGGATGTTGGAGGACATCTTTGTTTTCTCTAAACTTTAAGTTTCAAACTGAGACAAACGACGTGAAGCTCAAGTTCAGCTGAACTTTAGCGCCCAGTTTTCATACAGGGATTAAACCGTAATTCTAGATTAAATCACATTTTAAAGCAGGACGTATTGAAACAGGCGGTGCAACTGGTAGAGCTGCTGCCTCTCAGCGAGCAGGTCCCTGGTTCAAACCCCGGTCCAGGGGCCTTTCTGGGTGGAGTTTGCATGTTCTCTCCGTGCATGCGTGGGTTTTCTCCTGGTACTCCAGTTTCCTCCCACAGACCAAAAACATGCATGTTAGGCTGATTGGTAACTCTAAATTGTCCCTAGGTGTGAGTGAGAGAGTGAATGGTTGTTTGTCTCCAGGTGTCCCTGTGATGGACTGGAGACCTGTCCAGGGTGTCCCTGTGATGGACTGGAGACCTGTCCAGGGTGTCCCTGTGATGGACTGGAGACCTGTCCAGGGTGTCCCTGTGATGGACTGGAGACATGTCCAGGGTGTCCCGCCCCTCAGAGTAATTGCTGGACATGAGCACCAGCGACCCCCGTGACCCAAAATGGAAGAAGTGGGTAAAAGATGGACGGACTTCTTGAAAGAGCTTTCTTAGATATGGATTATAGTAGTCCCGGACTTGTCCTGGTCTTGAGTTAAATCATCTTCTGTCTTGAAGGAGGACTAGAACTAATCCAGGTCTAAATGAAGACTTGAATGAATCCTGGCCAGAGGCAGTTTAACTTCAGAGTAGAGGTTGTGTGCTTCACTGTGGATGGGCAAAATGGATCATCTGGACTACATCAGTGATGCTGGGAGACCACCACCAAGACCAGAAGGGTTTCTCAGAGACCAGTAACCTGCTGAATGGATTTGATGACACAGTTTTCGTACAGAAACAGCAGCTGAAACAATTAGTGCTTCAGACAAACGGGTCACGTGACTCGGTCAGAGGAACTCCTAGAGCTCCTTCATTACAAGTTCTGATCACGTTGAGATGTTCTTCATGTGCAGGTTTGAGTGAATGAGCCGTGAGAAACCTCAAGTTCATCACAACCTACGAGCTGCACTTCTGTGGATGAGGAACTGCCTTTGAGCAAACCTACATTTCATGGTGACGGAGTCGGGATAAACGTGATGATTAAATCTGACCTGAATCTGTTGGAGACTTGAGTCGTCACGTTTTTATTTCTGTGGATGAGTCGTGAGCTTTGTCCTCAGTTACGGGATATTTAGAAATGTTTCCTTCAAAAGCATCTTCTCACTTTCACTGAAGTTTGTTGAACGCTTTCTTTGTCCGTTGTCCATGCTTGGGTCAGAGGTCAAACTGCTGAAGTTGAACAGGAACATTCCACCTGTGCACCATGTGCACATCGTTAATCTGATTGGGCTTCCAACACATGATCTGACTGGTCCTTGATCTGGTCCTTCAGAGATTCTGTAGTCTGGAACGAGTTAATCTGAAGTTTTTCTTTCAACCTTTATTCCTACAGGTTAATCCCACTGAGCCTCGAGGACTCGTCTACCACAGAGACCTGATTTAACAGAGACAACAAGACGCATCATGAAGGATGCGCACAGATTATTTGTTAAACAACATCTTGGAAAGCAGTTGGATTAGTGTGGATTAAGTTAGACAAGATTAGTCCTGGTTTTATTTAAGCCCTGACTGAAACTGGTCCTAGAAGGTTGTTCAGCATCGAACGATCAGGAAAGACCTGAAACTGTCCACGCTTGGATCAAAGGATTCTGTCCCTGCATCATCATCATCATCCAGTGACCCGCTTCTTCCTGTCCGGGTCGCTGGGGTCCAGCTGTCACTGTTCAAGAGGCGGGGGACACCTGGACATGTGTATGAAGTCCATCCCAGGGACACCTGGAC